CATTCTTTAAAAGAAAGTCCAGCAACTGGGGATATAGGTCAACAGCACAGTGCCTGCCTGGCAAGCACAAGGTTGTAAGTTTGATTCCTGGTACAAAAAAAGAGAGTCCAGCTTCTCAGTCACTAAGGCTTAATTAAAGTCTCTACCATATAGTTTGTTGATATTCCATACCCATTTTGTAGGCTGAGCTCTGGTAACTGTTGCTATGCTGACGCTAGTGTTCAGTGGGTCTTGGAAATCAAATTAACATACGCATCTGCCAAATCAGGAATTCACTATGTGTCCTTCATTTAAAAGTTATAAAACAAAAGAATAATGATATTTAACCTTGGAGAATCCTGAGTATATGGATACAGACTACAAGCATTTTAGTAGGGGAAATAAAAATAATCTATAGGGAAAAAAACAATTAAAAACTGAAAAACAATTTTTTTTAATTCCTTGATTAATAACTTGCTTTCTGAATTTGCTAGATAAAGACTCGTGGTCCCAAATCATATTCCCTAGTTCTTTAGAAATGCCCTTTGAGTCTGCCTAGTTTCTTGGGGTAAGTGCAGGAGCTCACATAATGTGACTCAATCATCAGCTCTAGTTACTTGTTAAAAGTATCAGCTCTTGAGATTCCCTGCTCAAAAACCAGAAATTTGATGGCTGGGCCAACAGTCTGTGTTTAAATAAGACTTATAGGTAGTCTGATGTTCTGCTCTAACATCTGGAAACCTCTGGCCTACAGCAAATGTTCTCGAGCATTTATGCACATCAGAATCTCCTGAAGGACTTACATGTGGGTCTGTCATCCAGCACTGGAAATTTGGAGGCAGTAACACCAGGGATCTGTGTGAGAGGCTCAGGCTCGCTCTCTCTCTCTTTCTCTGTCTCTCGCTCTCACTCTCCGTCTCTCTCATATAGTTGTCCATATCTTCATGGACACCCAAATTTACAGATATACAAATCTCTTATTTGTATTTATCTTATGCACACTCTTCCCCATAATTTAAGTAATCTCTAAGCTATTTATAATAGCTAAGACAATGTAAATGCTATGTAAATAGTTAAATCAAATTGTTTAGAATAATAACAGCAAGAATAAGCCTGCACATGTTCAGTATAGACACAATTTTTTTCAAACATTTTCTATCTGCAGTTGGTTGAATTCATGGATGTGAAGGCCATGGACAGAGGGCTATATGTCTATGTACACACATACACATGTACACACACATATTAATATATATTAATAAAGAAGGTGGTCTATAGACCACAATATGAGAAATTCTTCCTTGAGATGAAATGTAAGTGTTGACAATAATTAGTAATTTTCCCAGATAATCCCTCTGTATAACTGAGAACTGAGTAAAAATCTTTGACCTCTGACTTACAAATATCTCCTTTTGTTTTTTGATACTGAGAATCAAACTCAGGACTTGCGCTTGCCAGGCAGGCGCTGTGCCACTGAGCTGTATCCCCGGCCCACAAATATGTCATAATTTTCATTTGGCCTCAAGAAGTCCTGCTGCCAGGCCTAGTGGCACACATCTGTAATCCTTGCACTCAGGAGGTTTTAGTAGGAGGATCATCACGAGTTTGATGCCAGCTTGGGCTACATAGTGAGTTCGGGGTCAGCCTGCACTACCCTGTCTCAAACAACCAAAAGAAAGAAGACCTGCTAATGGAAGTTTGGGAGTTCCCCATCCCACTGCTGTGAGGACCCAGGGCCTCATGTGCTCCAGGTGAGAGGAAGTGCCCATCTTTAGGACAGGTAGTTCTTGGTTATCATTATAAAAACATATACTAAAGGGAAGCATGTAGTCTTTACTTCTATGGGAATGTAAAGTACTAACGTACAAGCTCAGGCAAAACAAAACATAAAGGAGTACCTTAGAAGTTTTATTTTCCCCCTGAGATAACAGCTGGAGGGAGATCACTTAGAGGAAAGGAGCCTTTATCCTGACACATCTTCCATGGAAACATGTTCTAAGCATGGTGATCTTTAATGTGAGTTTTAGGGATTATCAGTTTAGTATGGAAGGTGTATATAAATATATCTCTGCTGTCTTTTGTCACTGTGACAAAATACCTGAGAATAACAACTTACAGGAAGAAAAGTTTATTTGGGTCATGATTTCAGAAGTATTGGTTCACAGTCAGTTGGATATTGTTTCTGAGCCTGTGTAGAGGTGCAACATTATTGCAGAGAGGGTGTAGCAGGGGAAATCTGCTCATTTTATGCAGCAAAGAAGCAGAAAGACAGAGCCATAGTGGAAAGGGCCAGGGATGAGATAGAGTCTTGAAAACCACACTTCCAGTGCCTGCTTCATCCAACTGGACCCCACCTCCCAAAATTCCACCATCTCCCAGTATGCCATCAAATTAGAATATGTCAACAGATAGATTAAGATCAAGTTAGCGCCCTATGATCTGATTGCTTTCCGAAGTCTCATCAGCTGGCAGTGAAGCCTTCAGCACAATGTAAGTAATTTTTCTTGAATGCAAGTTTCGCTTATTGAAAATAAAAAGAAGAAAAAAATAGAAGTGAAAAGGAAGAGTGGAAAGAAGAACTAGAAACGAAAAGAAGAGGAGACAAAATGCTGCACGCAGAATGGGTGACTGGAAAAGTAAGGCCAGCGAGCCTTTCATGGAACATTTCAGATCCCAGTCATGATGGTCTCTAACTGCAGTTTGGACTCAAGCCCTGATCATTTCTTTTCCCCATCAAACCTGCTACAGATCTGTGATGAGAAAACAGAGTTTTTAATGCAGACAGAAGTTTTGATGGAATTAATATGATTTGCTTCCATCAATTACATGTTTTATACTAGGTGTTAGGACCAAATTAATGCATTAATAATTAATTTATTTTAATTATACAATATTTGTTTAAACCATTACCTGACACTTAAGATAATTGGTGCTGTATTTCTATTTATATTTTGACTTTAAAATATTTTTAAAATCCTCTTAGTAAAATGCATGAGTTAATTTAAATGAAAATATTAAGTAAATATTTGTGTTAGGATGGCAACATTCCAAAGATGGTATATAAATGATCAAAATTTTGGAAACCCTGATTCATAGCATTGCTTTTAGGAGTTCGGCGTCATTCTTTTTATCACTTTTCTAATGCTGAGCTTTTAATGTGTTTTCTGTTCTAAACAGTGCTTCAAAGGATTTCTTGTTGCTAAATTTTGCTCATCTTCATAATGGTTCCCTTAGGAGAACTCACAGGTGTGGAATTGAGTTGAAGAGAAATAATTATATTAATTTAAGTTTGAAATTAGTATTCATTAACCATTTCTTTAAGTTTTTATGAAGACATTTAGGAAGTTAATAAAATAGTATTTATGATCCAGGGGAATAATTTTTCTTCTTTACTCAAAGGTTGCTTAATGCAGCTGCCTCCAAGTGTATTCTGGGTCTGAATAACAGTTCCTCCCACCCTGGGGAAGCCCTGGAGTGGGGAAAACCCTTGGCTGGAAGATCTGGTTTGTATTAATGTTAACCTTTCTATTTAATTAGCTTTGTGATCTTGTGCAAGTCACAACCTCTCTAAACTGTAATTTTCTTATCCATAAAATTATACTAAAAATACACTGCTTACCTCATCAAGATGTGAAGGTGAAATAAAATAATATGTGAAAATGTCCTGTAAATGCTGAGACAAGATATAAAATATTAACTGTTGGTATTTTAAAAGTACACTATATGCCACCCTCTTGAGGGATTCTGAGAGCATAATTCTCTTGATTCATAGATACAAATTATCTCGGGCAACCCAGATAATTTTTTTGGAATCGTAAATGTTGTCGGGTAGTTCTTTTAGAAATGGTTTGCCAAACAAAAGTATTTCAGGCCCTTCATGTTTCAAACAAAGAATTGGATGGGAAAAGCCAAAAAATAGTGCCAAAAGTTTATTTTAAAACAAGGGGTGAAAAGAGAGAGAAAAGGACAGAAAGTAACAATAAAAGTTGTAGATGCAGGGTAGGCTATCCTGAGAACTCATGATAACAAGCTCCTCGTGGTGTCTTATCTCTTTTCTCCAGTCTACATCTGGTGAGAGCTGGTGAGAAGTTCTACATAAGGGGTCCTGAGAGTATTCTGGCCTCACCCTGGGATCTTGAAAAAGGCAGGTCCAACCCACTGCTGCCTTAGGATCTTGTAATTGGCAGGTCCTGCTCATTTCGCCAGGCAGCTTTGCCATGCCCTACCTCCTATATCAATAAAGGGATACTGTGTAGAAATAGTAAAGGATATGAAAAAAAAATAACTAAATTGTACTGAGGAGCTATGTCTTGCAGATTGTTCCCTCCTATCTCCTCCTCAGCAAAAACTAGGAGCTGATATGGCATTGCAGTAAACACAAATTCTTTGTTTTTATTTGAACTTTGTTGCTCAACGTCAAATGTCAGTGAAAATATTGGTTGCTCAGAAGTCACATTACTTTTTAATCTAGTATTGGTATGGTGGCTCAAGATTTCTGAGTCCAGGCTAGGACCAGAATCAGATATTCTTAGTATACATAGGTTATCAGAAAAACTGAGACTATTCTCCCCCAGTGCACGTTAGCTGAATGATCACTTGTCATGGGTAGATTTAGGTGAAAACTCAACTACCTACCAGAAAGTCCTGATGTTGATCAAACCCAAATAGAGGGATGTGAATGTAGTATGTCCAGGAGCGGACATCAACACTGAGGGCCCCTGGGTGCTAGTTAGATCTGCCACTTCATCATGCAGGTCCTTAATGTCCTCTTCCGTAAAATAACGGAGTTAAGAATCTAATCACTGGTCAGTTTCCAAGGTCTCTTCCTTCAGTAAGATCACGTGATTCTGGGAGTCAGCTTATAACTTGCCCAGGAGTTCTTCCTTGAGAACCCTAACAAGGTTTATAGTGATAGAGTAAATGGAAATTGAGGGACTGTACTTCCAACCTTCTCCCAGGGCAGCATGAGAAATATCGTCCAGGATGGTCTCTGCTGGACCTGGGGACGAACAAGGATTCTACTCTGTGACATCACAATATCCAGCCCAGCCCCGATCTCAACATCTGAGCAGAAAAAGTAGCAGAGGTTCAGGGATTGATAGAGCAGAAGTCGAAGCCACCTGAAGGACGTGGAAGGAACCAGTCACCCATGCCTCCAGTTCAGGTTTGTGACATTTACTAAGCTCAGAAGAGAACATGCTGGTGTCTCAAAGAAAAGGAGAGCCCCTCCCCCAAGCTGAGTGTGTCTCCAGTTTAGGAAGAATAGTACAAGCACAGATGTGCCACAGATATCTTTGGGTGTTTGTTCCCATGGAGTAGACAGGAGGCCAAAGGCAGGCCCAGCAGAGCAGGACTGGAGGACATTCTCTCAAGAGATAGCCAGGCTTGTCAGGGAGCCAGACCACAAGGACGTTTCCTAAGCTCTTACTCCCTGCCCTCACCTCAAGTATGGGGACTATGAGAACGACACAGGTATCTTAAGTGGTTAGTGCAAAATTACTTGCCTAAAGTATTCCTTATTTGTCGTCTGGTAATAAATATTTTCCTAGGTAGATTTTTTTACTAGCTTCTCCCCAGAATGACAGAAAAGAGTAAACTAAGAAAAAAGTTAAGCAAAAGAAGCATTTTAATAAAAGATACTACAAAGAATATAAACGAAAGTAACGAGAAGGGAAAAAAAGTACTATTCATTTAGCAACCAGACTAACTGTAAAGACTAGTTTTGAAATGTCAAGCCTTCACACTCAAAGGCCACCCCTGATAAACAGTGGAAGGCCTCATGGTTGAGAAGTCAAACAGTTCAGCTGGAACCCTCTACAGCTCCTCCTCTTTAAGGGACTTGTGCCAATGAAATCATCACTGGAGACGTAGACAGTTCTGTTTTCTTTTCCTTGCCTTGGATTTTGGCTTCCAAAGTATTTGTTTCTTCCTTGAGTCTTGAGACCCAGAGAGGCTCCAAGTGACAGCAAATAGCTGTTCTGTGTACTAGCTGGGAGGAGCTCAGTGTTAGTGCCAGGCTCTGATTCATCTCCATTTGGACTCCCTTGAGTCTTAGCCCATGGTGACCCCAGAGTCAGAGCACAGGACAGCTCAGGCAGACTAGCTGAGCATTGCTTGCAAGAGGAGAATTTGCAGTGCTACTCCCTGAGTGGAAACAGCAGTCCAGGGTCCTGACAGGTAGATCGGTCACCCACAGGGCACCCAGTAGCAACAGATGGGAAGGAAGGAGACCAAATATTCATGAGGCACAATTTTAATGCTCTTTGGCCTCCAACATATCATGAATAAATATATCACAGCAGTAAGGTCAGTACTCTCAAACTCTATAAAAGTAGCAATAACCCAAAGCATGTAAATTGTGGAGAGCTCCAGATAAAAACAAAATGTGCTGCTTGCACATTAACTTTATAGCTCATGTTCAACTTCCATCTAGAGATGTTACTATGGCTTTTACATTCAGATTATGATCCAACCTCTTAAGACCTTGAAAATTAAAATTTCATTGGTCCAGTTTTAGACCTCATTCATTTTATAGTCAATGAAAACTAAGTTTAGGCTGAACCTAAAATAATGTCCACAAAGCACAGTGTCCTACCTCATCTACATTTATTGACTGTAATGTTCTCTGACAGTTGTGATAGTCATATATACCTCAGAAGTTTTGAGTTTCAGGGAACTAAAAGCTTATCCACTCTAATATCTCCATTTCCAGAAGAGGAAATCAGCACAGGGATGTTAAGTGTCTTCGTTAAAGATGTCCAGCTAAATTAGAGTTGGAACCAAACATTTCTTTAGTATTCTCATTCTTAGCCTGGTGGTTTTTCTAATACACCCTCCCCTACATTCATGTTCAGTGAGTTTATTGGTTCATATTTAAACTAACTCTTTTAATTTCCGAGTTAGAATATTCTAAAATGAGGATATCAGTTTCTCACCCTGCTGTGGTGAACGGTACATGCAGGCACTCTGTGTAGGTGGTGCTGGTCACCCCGCCCCCTCAGCCTCTGCAGCTCCCGACAAAATAAGCTTTATCTAAAATCAAGACAAAGCACCCACAACACATTCAGAAGTCTAAGAATATAGTAAAATCTGTCTAAGGAAATTGACAAGCTACTGTGCCTTGAAGCCTGATTAGCAGTAGTCCATTAAACAGAAAAAGCATTTACACAATGTGCAAGACTTTTGCTTTGTAATAAATATACAGTCTTCTTCTGTGTTTTGCAGTTCAAGTAGATGTACTTTAATTACAAATATGTGTATATATATCCATTTGTGGACACATTGAGTAAACACTTTATCTGACAGATGAAAGGCTATTACACACATCAGCAGTAACAAACTTACTCTTCTTAACCTACCATATCTCCTAGATACTAGATACTAGTCTTTTTCTGACCTATCCTATTAATACATATTTTATTTGGAATCATGTTTTCTATGCTATATATGTCTTGCATCTCCAATTAATCTGCACATTTGAGCCTGGGCACTCCCTGTACATAAGTACTCATAGGTTTCCCAGTTGAATTCAGTACGGATGCATTAATGTATGTCTCAAAATACAAATTCTGAAAAAAAAATGAAATGGAAAAGAATTGTTTTAGATAAAAATAGTCCTAATTTACATAGCTGTCAGCTCCATCACTGGCCTTAAAAGATTCTCTTGATATTTCCTACACTATTAGATTGGTTTCAGACAACTGAAGATTATATTTCCTAAAAAGATCTCACATGTATTTCTGATTTTCCATGCAGATTGTCTTTAGTAAAAGAGAATTATGAAGCATTTACTAATAGAAAAAACATTCCATCATGGCATAAGGGTTAACAGAGCTGTGGTAATATCTCTCAGCTTTCATATTAATTTCTAAAGTTATATAATATATTGAGTAATTTTGCACATAGTATGCATTAGAAAGCAGGAGAAAGCTAGTGGTGGAAAACAGGAATAAAAGAAGTTTTAGTTTTAGCTTCTTCATTGTGGTTTTGAAGTCTCAACATCTTCCAGTAAACTAAAACACAGGTATGTCAAGTAAACTTTTGAAAATTTCCCCTCAAATAACTCACTAAGATGCAGACTGACAAGTCTTATTAAAGAGCTCTGGGAGGAAGGAGGAAAAACAATAAAAGAAAGCTGCCTCTCCAGAGAACCTGAGGCATTTGACCCTCTTTCTACCACCACGTGGGTTGCGCGGCATCTGGCCACACCTGGCCCTCTGACACACACAAGGCACTCCCCTGCATCCTAGCCCGGCTTCCATGCCCACTCCCCTAAGAATTGTGCAACAAGGCCTTTGTAACCTGAAACCTGTGATATCTGGAAAGGTGTGTGACCCAGAGCCAATGGGTGTTGTTGCCACTAGTGTCCTGCAGGATTTTATGCTGTTTACCCCACGCCCCATGGGAACTTCAGAAGGAGACAGGTATGCTCTAAGGCAAGTGGAGAGAAGGAGTCTTCAGCGGAACTGCACACCAAGCATCCTAGTGCCTTTCCCCACGTTGCTAGCCTCCAGAGCATGCTTCTCACTGCTGCCCAGAGACCCGACCCACTTTTGAGCCACTCCTTCTATTCCCAATTGTGCCCCTACTGAAAGCTATGAGTTGCAAGCCTTGTTATTCCAGTGCACTATCGAGGGAAAGGGGTGATCCTAGCTGGGAATTCTTATTAAATAACAGTATTGGTGAAAAAGTGCCAGGGGCCGGTGACAGGACAGCTAGGAAAATCTTATGGTCAGTGGCCCACTAATGATCATCATCTCATAGCACAAGCACAGCTTTCTATGCTTCTCCTCCTCTCTCCACAAACACCTTTCTTCATCATGACAAGCATACAGTGCAGCCACCATTTTACTTGGGGTTGTCCCACTTCCCTCTAGCTGGGGAATAGAATCATAAGCTGAGGCACGAACACCCTTCAAATTGCCTAAACATAGTGATGGCCTTGTCGACAGAACTAATGAGAAAGATGTGAAAGATTTTCCTCAGTCTTGCCGTTTGCTGCTTAGTACTACAAAAATAACTGTAAATGATAAGTTCTATATTGTGTTTTGCTAATCCTTTTTATTAACTAATAGGGGTCCCAGGAAGATGAATTTAATCTGTTGACAATTAGGGTAAGTAATTAATTAATTGTGCAGTGCTTTGTCCTTATTCTACCATTCAGCCGCCCCCTCTCCAGCTGGCATTTAAAGTATTCTCCTCCTTCCAAGTATATTCAGAATACAATCTCTTTAGTACTAAAAGAGGGAGCAGCTTTTTATGTTAGGATAGGTTCCTTTCTGTGTTGGTAGTTGATATTATTTCACTCCACTAAGCAACATGGCATCTCTGGTCACATGAGCGTCCTTTCCGGGAGGTTTTATTCTATTCTCCTTTCTACCCCCCTCTCCCCAAATTCACTGTGAGTTTCAATCAGATTTGTAGTTTTTGAAACCTTATTACACACCTGGGACTCTATCAGGCACTGTGACAATAGCAAAATGAAATACTTGGCATAAATGAGGCTCCTTAAAAGTTAGGAATTTAGTTAGGGAGACCAGATGTACACCTGCAAAGAGTTCAAAAGCAAAGAAGGAGTTCATAAACTATGTGAGAAATGTGCACACTGTGGACTTCAAAGTGCCTCAGGGGTTCAGAGCAAAGAACAGACAGAGCTGCTTGGAGAGTTCACGTGATCGCCACTGGGACACGGGAGGAAACTTGAAGGAAGAGAAACAGAATCTAACTCACTAAACCAAACTTAGGGAGCAAACGTTTGTGACGATTTTGGCCCTGGCAAGATGTTTTTTCTTGTCCCTCTCACGGATCACTCTCCCTTTGCTTTTACAACTCTGCCTGCACGGCAAACAAATTATATCTTTTTGTTGGAACATGGGAAACAGGAGTCAAACATCTGGGCACCGGGGGAAAATGACCCAAGCAGATGGTTGCCGTGCAAGGTGCTGCGTACTGTACCTAGGGCTGTGTCAGAACTTAACTATGCACCTTTGTTCTCTGAGCCAACACTCTAGAGAAAAATATCCCTGATCTAATCCATTCATGCTCCCCTTTTGTGATTCTTATCTCAGCCGGTGACCTCTCTGTATTCCCAGTTACTCTGGTGAGAAGCTGATGTCCTCGCCTATTCCTGGGTCTATCTCCCTTTTCCCTTGCGTTTGGTTATCA